TATGGGTGTCTTCGTGTCGCAAGATGTTTGCCTCCCAGTATATCTAAAGCTGAATACCACAGAAGCGTTGGTTAACCCTTATTTCCCCAAATTTGGTTTGTTGGCTGGGAGTGGAGTGCCAGTAATTTTCTTTACTCGTCAAGCTTTTTTTACGTGAGTGATTTATTTGAAATTCTTGATTGATTCAAGCGTTATGTTCTGTTCAACTGTAATGTTCCTCTAGTATAACAGACTATTTATTGAACTATTGCAAGAATAGGGCTAAGCAATTTATAGATTAACCTTTCTACTATTTTATTAATTTCTTTAATCACTATCAGTATTTAATACTAGATCGATTGAGCTCTGAGTTAGGACAAGTCGGGCTAACAAAACAACAGTTAACGCCTATGCCGGCTTGCTGGAAACAGCGTCTCAGCTGAGACTAGGGAAAGCACTGCCAAAGCCAGCGCAGAAGCTGAGCGCGACTCACACCTCGTCTCAAGACGCTCGCGCGCCCCACCCTCTGCAGTGCTTTTTTTCAACTATTGTCGGCTGGTACGCTAGCTGATTCCAGCAAGTCGGCCCAGGTGTATTACTTGCTCATCTATTTGTTATATAAGGCAGTAGTGCTATCTCCTAAAATACTCAAGTTTATTGTATACAAAATAACGAAAAATATTCGCTGGAAAAGAAAGTTTTCATTATAGAAAAGTAAACATTAAAAAAGTCGGTAGGCCTTTCTGAGATTTTACGTTAGAGAGCAACTGAATCGATTAATCGAACAGTTGATTAAAGGGCGACGATTAATAAAGCTATATTTTATTTGGATATTCATAATTGACAAAGGTAAGGGAGAACTGACAGCGACTGAAGATGAAAGGTAAATGAATATTTAAAATTACAGTGGTATGAGGTGGCCTAGCGGGAACTGGCACCTGAATCGAGGCCCCCGATTCTGTTTCTTTCAGAACTGTGAGCCCAGAACTCTGCGTGGGATCCCGGCCATCACGTTCTTGCCCGGTTCACAGCTTGCAGGGGTGAATCCTGGCACTCATTTTTGCTTTAATTTTTCTTTAATCGTAATACTTAATAAAATGTATTGACGGTACACTTTGAATTGCATGCTTCTATATTTACCTGGATGCGATAAAAAAAATTCCACAGTGAATGTGGCTTGTTTACTGCAGCTTTCTTTTCAGATGTACATGTAGTGTTCAACTGACCACTATAAATACATCTGAAAAGAAAGCTGTATGTCCGCTAAAATGGCTGCCGAAAATAGTACAACCCGCGCTTGAAATCGGATGCCAAAATTTAAATTCCCAGGGCATAAGGTTGGGAGCTAATATTGGATAAGCCAGTGATTAAGGTTTGATGCCAATATTGGTTGTAGGATTCACAATCAGTAGTGGTCCAATGATGGCTTAGGTGTTGGTGAAATTGTGGCCCAACGTTGGGCTTACATTTTGGTTAAAAGGCGGTCGAACCATGGCATAAATGATGGTCCAATATTAGCCTAAATATTGGTTGAATCGTGGTCCTACATTGGCATTAGTTAATGGTCCAACGTTGGATCGGGTAGCGGTTTTGAGAAAATCAACATTAGGCCAACATTGGAGCCAATGTTTGCCATTTGCGGGCCTATTTGGTCAAACAATGGTGTGCTGCTTGGAAGTTGGGGCGCAGTAATCGTCTAAAAGATAACGCACTATGTTTATTTATTTTTTTTTTTTTTCTGGATGTGATATGTGTTTTGTCGTCCGCTCTCAAGCGCGTTCTCGCTGGACTGAATCATCGGTCTTCCTCGCGCAGATTCCGTCTGCGACGCAGGTGACTTCTACAGTCATTATATACACCAACTCATCTCTGTGACGTCACGGCGCGGTGGTGGCGCGTCGGTCGCACTTCCGGTCTGGGGCTGTGGGCAGAAGTCCCCATGCCAGACGTATATTCCTGCGTTGTTTTGAAAGGAACCAGACAAAAACCTGCCTTCTCGTCAAAACGCCGCGACTGGGGCCGTACCAAAAGTGTCGAGAAAGGTTTGAAGGTCAGTTTTTACGTGCTCGGTTCGTCCGAGAATCTGGATATGTGCCGTGAAAAGAAAAAAGCAGACGCCGTTGGACAACGATTGCTTGGGCGGGAAGCACTTTCGGTTGAATTCACGGACACTTGTGGTCATCAGATTTATTTGTTTTGTTCAAACATGAACGCCAGAAAACTGTCAAGTTGTGCGGACAACCTGTGGACTACGTTCAGTGCGTCTTCAAGCTCAAACGGCCGCCTGATCGTTCGAACTGTCGTCTGCTCTTTCAAACGTTTCTGCTTGTCGTCTGCTCTCTTAGACGACGCCGGCCGTAGATGAAATGTTGGCCCGGTACTTGCTATACGAAGTGCAGGCCTCAAAAGACTGAAGTTTGAAGGTTGGTAAGTAAGCTCGATGTAAACAGTAAATACAAGGAGATGATCATTGTAACGAGTGACCATCACTGACTTCCTATGCCTAATTGACTTAGTCCGATTCTACTTGCGATTTTCAGTATCGACGTCGACTATCTTATCTACGGTACAAGCTTTTGCAGCCCGAGCGGCGTCGCGACTGAAAATTGCGAGCGAAATCTCATCATGCGAATCAGGTTTTATCGTACATACTGCGGCGTCCACACCGAATGAATCGCCACATGTCACATTATTCACGCTAAGTTTCGCGGTGTAACGAGCCTCGGTAATTTCGCTAACACCGCTCAAGTAGTCAGAGATCGCCAGGAAGACGTAGAATCAACAATTCGAACGCGAAAAAGGGCAGGGGGACTCACACCGACGCCGACAACATCGCATTTCAATGGTTTGTTTATGGGCGACGGCGAGCTTTTTGCCCACACCCCCATCGCGCATGCGCGGCGCCGGTGGCGTCCGCTAGGGGCGCTCCGGTTTGTTTGTAAACATGAATTGGTGTATAGAGCTGTGACTCTAGAGTGCAGTGACTTCCAAGCATGCTTTGCCATCCGTGATCCCTCAGTTTTAGCAGACCGTTTTTGCACCTTCGATACGATACTTCAGCGGTGCGATCGACCATGGAGTAGTTATGCCTGGGCGCGTAACGGGCCGGCTAGAACCACGGCTACTGTTCTCGCACCGATTACAAAATTTTTATTCCGGTGTCGTAGCGGGACTCAACAGTTTTAATCATGACTGAAAGTAAACATCTTGCTGTCCTTTAGCTGCGGCAAGTATATTTGAGATTGCTAAAATTCGTGATAGAGAGAAATGAAGAAAAAAAAAAAACACGAGGTGTGCATTCTTGTTTTTTCTATTTATATTCCTAAAAAGGTGACGCAAAATACCCCATGCGTCCATGGCCTAGCGGATAAGAAGGCTGCTACTTTAGCCTACCTATCGAGTGGATTTTTAATTAAAAATATAAAGGAAACCAACCCGTCCTGGGTTTCGAAACCCAGGACGGGTTGGTTTCCCTCATATTTTTCCTTATGAAAGTTTTGCTAATAAACTGTGCGTTAAAAAATAAAATAAAAAAAGAACAGGTTTTCAAACTAAACTTCTCCGACCAAACAGGTCCCCACCGTGCTCCACGCCAGACTCGTCAAACCAAACAAATCTTCAAACAGAAAGGAGCGAAAACAGGGCGCGCCATCTATCGGTCTTCTTTTCAACGAATTCCCGCGACGCCGGAGTAGCCACGCGTGTGCTGATCGCTCTAATCCCCACACCCGTTTTCGGCCCTTTCGCCTCCCTTAGCCTTGCCGCCGTGCCCGGCCTTCCCCCCCTCTTTCGGCCTTGACACCCCTCCCGGCCCTTTCGCAGTCGCCGGCCTAGCCCCCGCACTCGGCAGTTCCGGCTCGCTCGGCCCTAATCCACGCTTGGCCCTCCCGCGAGGGCCGGCCGAACTGGTAGTGACCCGCACGGATCGTTATTAGAACGATCTACTAAAACTCCCGAGTAGTGCGTAGAATCATTAGGCTGCCGGTTAAAACATTAGTGTAAAGAGACATAGATCCTGTTGTGATGTTTATTTTAAGCGGAAGGACGAAGGCCTCCGATCACAGCATTTGAAGTTCTTCACTATCTTTCTAGGGAACAATAGGGAGAAAAGTAAATAGGGAGTTTTCGTAAACCGCTTTCCTCCCTCCGCTAAGCTGTCCGCAACGAAGACACCGCTACTGAGCCCTTCGCGCCGTTCAGTTATTTCCCTACACGCATTCCTCCTTTCTCAATGCCCTCCCCCCCCCCCCCCCCCCCCCCTAATTTCACTTCCTGGGGAGCCCCCTGGCGTCGCTCGCCTTGAATAAAAAAACCTGGATCTCGTAGCGGGTTGCGGAGAGCGTTGCAGGACTCCGGAAACGATCTACGATAACTCCCTAGTGATAGGGCTAGATATACATATTTAGGGGAAGTCCCCATGGTGTACAAGATTTACGCAAGAATGAATGGACTTCCACCTGAGACGGGGCATAAAGCGCGATCCAAACCAACGCTTCTTTTTGCGCCTGTAGGTCGTGCGGCTGGTGGATGGCCAGCTACATCTTGGAGATACGCCAGAATCAAATCCCGAACCGGTCGTATTTTTTTCACAGGCCACCAGTCGCCTAGACGGCACTAGTTACGTTTCATTTCAGGGTAACATCCATCTATTCTTGGGTAATAGGGCCGACGGTTGGCAGTACTTACATTTTGATTAGTCCGGAAAGGAGCATCCGCGTCGTGGTCGTCCTCTTCAGTGACAAATCTCGTGTTATTTGTGAATTCAGAAAGCAGGATAAACTCCGCGTGTTGAATTTATTGGGCTGCGCGAGATGTCGACTTCACAAAATGGTTGTTCTCGGCAGTTTTCTACTAACAAACAACGATGCATTTTCCACAAGGCTGCTGATGCCATCGATATTTTATTTCGTCGCTTGGTTGTGTTCACTTGTGAAGAAAAAAAAATGTTTCAATTTGCATAGTTGTAGCAGGTGTACACCAAACGTATAAATGCAAATCAGAATACTGACACGCTGGTCTTGAAAAAAAAAATGAATCAGTGCCACAATTACAATTCAGGATATATACAACTGAGTAAAAATAAAGGCATTTCAATCGAGTAATAAAATCAAGAAACTATAGTTAACGTACAATACACAAACTAATAAAAAACGACACTTTCTTGACTAGCTGATACTCTAAAAATAAAAGAAACACACTCGAATAAAAGTTCACGCAGCACCATAATTAGCCAAGCCTAAAAAACTTATTTGGTTTAAAAGAAACTTTTTTTTCATATTAAAAACATTATGACCAATTCTTCACGGCAGCATTGTAATGACGATGCACAAGTCAGGGATGTAAACTTATCTGCAGGAACATTATTCGAATGTATCTGCCATGGGAAAATATACACACATATTTTAAAGTTTTCATATTCTCTGCCTCAGAGCTCAGAGCTGAACAGTCCGCCATTGGCAAGACATGACGATCTTCTTTTAATCCTCCGGCTTCTTTTTTATTTTTTTATTTGAATTTATTAAAAAAAAAGTTTAAACCCCCACGTTTGATTTGAGTGTGAGGCCCCGTGGTATGTGGTCAAGCCTGTGGTCAGAGTTCAGGTTGTGTATATACGATCTGAGCTCTATATTTGTGCTTGCCTATCCAGGACTGGCGTCCCGCTGCTCTATTCCAATCAGCTTGCTCACAATCGTCTTGTATTTCTTTGTCCTTTGTTAAAACCTACAAATTACGCAGTAAAAAAAGTCAAACAAAAACCTACACTAAAACGAAGCTGGTTCTGTGCTTATGCGCTTGCTGGTTGTCCGAGCAGGGAGCACCGTCCCTCTGGCGCAATTGCATGCTGGCAAATGATAACGACTAAGCGATAACGATGGAACGTTCCCTCCTCCGGAAAGAAGCATCGAGCGTTTGAAGAAGACCGCGGTGCCCGTCGACTGGGTACCCGCCCACGTCGTCGATGCATGCAGTCCCGAGAACTCGAGAGCCCTCCTCTGCGGGTGGAATCCTTGTTGGCCGCTCAGTCCTTGTTCACCAGGTTCCTGTACAGGCTCTGGACGTAGGTGAAGACGCACTTCCAGTCGGGCTTCTTCATCAGGACCATGTCCTCGACGTCCAGCAGAGGTGCGATGCCGGCTTGCTCGCTGCGGTTGGAAAACGGTGTCCTTGCAGAGAACAGACCAAATAATCTCCTTCGGCGCGCTGCCGTTTTGGCCTCTACCCGAGGACTGTGGAACGTGTTTTGAGCATGTGAAGTAGCCCGCTATTTACTGGGGAATATCACCACGACGAGCATTCTTTAACAATGCGCCATTTTTGTCTGGTTCTTAGGTGCTGAAAAGGTATGTTGACCAGCACAATTCACGCGGGGGAGAAATCCGCGGAGGGACGTGGGTGACGTCGACAGCGGGCGCGATTTCCTCCTCAGCTTCGTCGTTCACTCCGACGAGGTCGTCTGCTTCTTGCGCAGGACTTGCGGTGACGTCAGAACGACGCCGATCTGTGATTGGCTTTGATTGAAAGGATAGTGGGTAGATGTCAATCCTAGACGCCACGAGGTCTACCCACTATTTTTTTCTTTTTTGAATTAGCCAATGAGAGCTCGGCATTCTGACATCATCGCAACCCATGTGCAAGAAGCAGACAAACTTTCGGTCCGCATTTAGCGGTTCCCACAATTGACAGCACCCCATCCGCGCTTAGCGAATTTCACATTTTGTACCAAATAGCTTAACGACAATAAATATGATTGAAAACAAACTGATACGCCGCCAAAACAGGATTGTTTGTGCCGCCCGGACGTCCCCGACATTTTCGACGCCTGACGTTTTTCGTCGCGTGATGCACGCGCCTGAGACAAAATCCCCGAGATTTCTCTCTCGCGTGAATAGTGCTTCACAAACAAGCGTGTCTTTGCTGACGCCAGGTGTGGGCACTTCGCATGCGCAAAAACCAGATCGGCGTTAATTGAGTGAAGCGTGTTCAGCGCCACCGCAGCGACATAGGCGTCAACGTCACACACCTCTGGCGTCACACGCCGCGGCGGTGATGCTCCTGCAAACACGGCACATGCGCAGACGATTCACACGAACCTGGTTTCTGCGCACGTGGGCGAACGGTCACTTGTTTGTAAACAGCGTGTAGGTCCATAGACAATCCCAATAATCACCTTCGCGCCGCCCTCTTTGTCTCCGGGGCTGGGGCTCTGAGAATGTGCGTTAGCCGCCTTCTGCGGAAGAGCGTGCATCCCAGTAGCTCGGCAATTTTTGCCGAAGAGATAAGCGCTCGAAAGGTGTATAAAGTGATAGACCCAACTGATTTTTTTTTCCAAGTAATCAGAAACAACACGCACGACGAAGCAGATTTTACGGAAACAGAAGTTCCGTCTTTCAGTTCATTGTGCTGCTCTGCACCGACGTTCGCTTTCCAAGACCTGCACTGTCACGCAGTCGCCTTATCATATTTGGGGGTTTTACGTGCCAAACAAACGACGGACATCTGGCACGCCCCAGCGGAGGACTGAGCATTAATTTTGACCACCTGGGAACCTTGTGCAACCGAAAGCTCGGTTACACAGCGCCATTTCCGCAATAAGCCTCCGCCAGATTGCGGGCACCTTGGCCGGGATTTGAACACGCCACCTGGGGGATCTGTAGGCCGGCGCTTTGCCTCGAAGCCACCGAGGCGACTGTTCTGCAGTCGCCGCTTCGAAGACTTTCGGTGCTTGTAAGAATCACCAAGTCGCCAGCAGCCTACCGCAATTCGGGATCTTTGTCCCGTTTTGTGGCGAACCATCGTCGAATTTGAGTTACTCAGATCAGAAGCTCCCGCGAATCGTTTTCCTTTTTCACGGTTTAATACGTTGAATATTTGCGAGCTATGATCATTGTTTTTCGAGAGGGTAGACAGAAGGGAGACGCACTTGCACGACACGTGCATTTTGACATTAAAATAATATTTGCTTCGTAAATTAATTTAAATTAGTATATATCTTCAAGATGGAGACCTAGGCGAAGAAAAAGCGATCGTATATATTATTATAAAATCGGTTAGAATATTTTGAAGTAAAACTCGTACAAGCTCAAAAAAATCGTCAAGGAATTGCAGACGTACGTATTTCTATTTAACTCTTTTTTCCTAGGTGTTGCCACGGCCCGGATAAAGTGAAGAGGCGATCGTCCGCGATATTGAAGACTGTGGATATTCGATAACCAAATGCACTAGTCTCCCGTTAATAGGGAGTTTTCGTAGATCGTTTTCGCCGTCCCGCAACGGCTCTCCGCAACCCGCTACGATAGCGGGAACTCTATAGTCAAGGCCATCGGCGCGCAGACGCAGTAGCGGCATCTTCGTTGCGGAGGGCTTAGCGGAGGGGGAAACGCGGTCTGCGAAAACTCCCTAATATGAACGCCTCCGTTCCGCCAAAAAAATCTTACATAGAGCGAGTTGTACGTAATAATCTTCATAACGTATTTACCCAGTTGGTCCCAGAAAATTGTGTCAATACTTGTAGAGCGGTGTACACATATTTACCGGGTTTATATTGTCGTGTATTGTGTGAGTTTTCGCCTCGTATAGCGAACACGACCTATTGAGCCCAGGCAACGGCGGGCAAATGCAACCAGAGACACCGGCAGGGGAGAGCGGAGCGATGGGTCACGTAGAAGCACGGGACGCCTGGAAAGCAGAGACTGGGCCCGGTCACGGTCTCAGGGCAGAAAAAGACGCTTCTCGTAACATCCACCGATTGTAACCTAAACAGTTCAATAAATATATCCTTGCATTATCTCAAATTAACCGGTACATCACACATACTAACGAGACATCGCTGCATCGGTCCTGTACGCTGAACAGTGAACTGGTCTGTCGTGGCAATCACTGTACAAATCGTAAACAAACAAAAAAAGACGTAGTTTGTACTTCGTTTCATCCCAAGTCAGAGCGAAGCCGAAGGCTCGAACACATCCGAATACAGATATCCATACTACAAGTGCAAGTCATGGGGCGTATGCGCTCGATTGGTTTAGCTGGTGATAGGATACGCGAGGAAAGGTGACGAATGCCATAACGTTGCACATTCAAAACTGTTTGATTGATATCCCATCGCGTCGTAGCGTCGACTGCGATTCTGACTTGAGGGCAAAACGAAGTATAGCGAAGCTATCCGCAGCTGTTGTGTTTCTGCACCATGTGACTGCTTTTTGCCGAAAGGTCGTGGAAAACAGAAAGAGTCCCACCCCTCGACCAGGATCCTTTACCATCAGTCCTGCACATAACCATCCCGAGGTAGATTGAAATCGAGACGTTTCGGTTGTCTGGTCCGCCACCTTTTACTGTATTCGAAAATGCGGCATCGGGGGAAAATGGTGCCTTATTCCAAACGGCTACTGTGCCTCGTCAATGCGGACTCTTCCTGCGTTTGCTACAAAAACTCCCAAGTTTCGTACATTTTCTATAATCGTGTCAGTTAATTTATTTTTCATGGAGTGATAAAACACAGGGGCACATATTACAGTAGAGGCAGGAATGGAATCTAAGAAAGTTTATGCCTCGTTATCGGAACACATGAACATAAGTCAGACATGCACTAACATAACGATGAGCAATTTCATTTTGAAGCTCCAAATGGTGCGACATTATATAGCGTTAAACCAACGAGGCGCAGTAATGCGAAGTTCTATTTTATAAACGATTTCAAGAAAGGTGACTGCCCGCCGCCATGTCTTTTTTTTTTTTTTTTATTTAAGCGATTAGTTGTTTGAGTTTCTTATGGCCATTTTTGAGGTATATTTCTGGCCTCTTATTTTTCCCGCTATATTTTGCTGGAAAAATGACTTCACAACACTTGATGTCACGTGAACTATGCACACATTCAGTTTTCCCGCTGAATTTAGCGGGGAAAATGACGCCATATAGCTTGATGTCACGTAACTTACATACAAATTTCGTTTACCAGCTGAAACTAAGCGGGAAAATTGACACATGACCTGCCGTGACCCTCTTATAGTTATGTGGGCTAGCGCACACCAGATCGGAGCACGTCGAGCGAAAACTCACGCTACAGAACCAAGGTATCCTGGGTTCAATCCCCATCCCAGGCCGTTTCGATCTGGATGAGCATCGTAGCGGTCTGCGGTCATGTGTCACTACTGCGTGGTACACGCTAAAGACCCCAGGCTAGCGGATGTACTGCGCTGACTAAATTGCCCATCTACAGCAAGTGACTCGTCGCAATTTTGAAATGGCTGACCGACTACAAGCTATATAAATATTCACACAACCCCTAATTATCTCAATTATGTCTGAAGTTTATCGCTTAATGAGACAACACAGTTGCTTCCACCCGAATTTTCATTTGTCTTTTTATGCGGCTTTTGTGGATGTTAAGAAAACAGAAAGTTCAAACGCGACGGTTACGAAACTGGCGCAGAGACGACGGTGGAGGTTGCTTACTCGGCCGTGCGGAAGGCCAGGTCGAAGTTGTGTCTCCGGTTCTTGGGGTCCAGCTGGTCAAAGTCAAACGCCTCCGGATAGAAGTGGTGAATGAGGGCGCAGAAGGCCATGCCGTCGTTCCAGCTCGTAGAGAAGTTCTGCACGTCCACGTTCTGCGGAGACGACAACGTCGCGTTTCTAAACTAAGCGTAGTTTTATTGTCTTCGTTTTATTTAACCGTCATGCCAGTTGCCTGTACGGCGGCCAAGGCAAGGGCGAACACTTCTTGACTAAGTGCGCAAGTAAACAAGAAAAAAAAAAAACCTTAAGTAGAAACGACAAGAACTCACTACGTCGACTAACTTGAATTCAATACATCCACTGACAGAAATGGCTATCTCCGTGTTTCCGTATCATTTGAATCTCAAAGAATATGAACGTGTAAAAGATTCATATATATGTATCAACGTAAAACAAATCTCAACTACATTCTAATAAAATGGTGAAATGGCGTTAAAAATAAATACACAACAAAAAAAAAGTATTTCACACACGAAACTTCTGTACAAAGCGTGGCCCAAAAAAGTTTATATTTTGTTATTTATTATTATTATTATAATTTTTTGTTAAAATAATCTATGTATTGCTGAACGTTGATTCTCCGTCAAATTGTAGCGCTATTCGTCCGAAATAGATTCTTAAGTTTTAGAACTAACCGTTGTTTCATTCGAAAGTTATAAGTGATTTTCTTAAAATTTCAGTGCAAAAATTGAGTCCATTTTTGCCGGTTTCCGGCAACTCCAGCCGTTCAGCTCCTCACGGATTCGAAAGCCTCCATCGGCCGCCTTTTTTCCAATAAAAATTTAAGAAAATCGCTTAATAGGGTAACGGTTCGTTTTGAAACTTTGGCATCTGGTTCGAACCGCTGGCGCTGGATGGATGGATGTTAAAGACTGTACCCTTCATAACGGGCGGTAGCTTTCGCCACCTAGCCTAGAAATTAAGAACCAAAAGCAAGATTTTCTTACTTCGACAATTTGCTGACCCTCTGCAATTTCGTGACTACCACCAGGCGGTGTGGGGTATCACCACGATAACCTTTGGGTGATCGGGCAAAACTATAAAAACATCACCCCTCGCCTCGCTACATTTGGGTGGAAAATGAGCGTTCGGCGATGCTTAGTTTATTTCTGAGATAAAGAAAACCCCGCATTTGATTTCGGGACACCCTCTACACCCTCTTCTTGTGTCCTTCGTCATTTATAGCGCAGTTTTACCATATTAATATCAACTAAGTAGTCCAACTCAATGCCTTGCACAGTTGCATTTATTGGTTCTGCTCAACAGATCTCCACATATGCGCCCCTTTAAAAATAGACATCTTGAAGTCCAAATTTTATATTAAAAGTATGCATATAAGATAATCCCCTTATACGTCGCCTGAAAACAACTGTTCTACCAAAGAAGGCATTTGAGACGGTGTAACGTCCCATCAGGCTCTTCGACAGCGCTTGACGTCAGGGCAGTGGCCGTTGCCGCCACGCGCAGAGCGAACGTGCTGCAGGGCGAAGTTCGTTGGCTCTTTGCCGCATATTCGTTAATTAAAGCGTCTGCGGCTAATATGTTTACCGCGTTCCAAAAGAAACAAAAGTGGTCCCCCGATTTTCGTTTGATGACGTCATAGACGTGTCATGTTGTCGCCCGTCGCGATCCTGGCGGTGTGCCAGCGGCGGTAGTTGAAGTGGCCAACGCCTGTTCTGCTGCAGCAGGTCGCTCTCTGGTGTGACAGTCCACGGAAGCTGCGGCAGCCAGGAGTTGAGACCTCGCGACGGCAGCGACACTCGCGTTTCCTTGGGCTTTTTGCCGCAACTTTTACGACCAACCAGTGATCGCGGCATCCAACATCATGACACGCCTGACTTCTGCAATGTCATTTATTGCCACTTCGGGTCGATTTTTTGTTCATGGGTGGAAGAGGACGCTAAACACGTACAACAACCAAAGACGCGATCCAAGTACCGTAATACCGGGTGAGAAGGAAGTTGACCGTCGTCTCACGGCCCGACCCTCACCGCAGTAACTCACCGTCTTGCGGGGAGTCACTGAGTAGTAAAGCAGCTTCAAAAGCGCACGCCCCTGGATCTTATTTTGTTTATGATTGGTTCAGCGATGACAGAACACGTATAGAAACATGACGAACACCGTGACGGTGCGTTTTTGACGCTGTCTGGTTGGTCCCATCAGCTCGCAGCGTCGGATTCGTCTTATAATAAAAGAGGTGCTAACATCGGTACCTGCTGCGGGCCTCATGATGGGAGACGACCCGCACGCGTTCCCTCGAACATGCCACGGGTCAGTGCCACTGCCCGGACACAGACATCGCGTTAGGTGCGCTTTTACTGCAACGAACCTTCACCGACGAAGCCCAGTCTCGGTTAGAAACGCTTATTACAAGGAAGAAAAAAAATTCAACAAATTCAACGTTTCATTCACAAATTGTAAACTAAGGAATCGAGTCACGTGAATAGTAACGTCCGAAAAGAATATAGAGCATGAAGCACCACGTAGTGGCTTTGTTCCGTGACTTACGTTACGTTCTGGCTCTGGCTAAAAATACGATTGTACTCAGTCAGAACAAAATATGGCTGTTATTGGTGACCACAGAAATGAAGAAGTGATTATGACAATGACGATAACAAATTTCCAGTATCCAGCGGAAAACACCATCTCCCTGTGGTTTTAAAGAGAAACCGGCCGCGGTATGATCGCACTCACGGCGTATCCCCTGGTCTTGTTCTTGCACCAGGAGAGCAGCATCTCCTTGATGTCACTGGCGCTGCGAGCCACGCCCCCGCTGCCACCACGGAAGCTGGAAAGTTTACGGGACACGAAAAACCATTACGCGTGCTTATTTTGGTATGTGTGCGTGTGTGTTGGCAAATCTTGAAAACATGGCGGGTGGATTTGTCGACGACGGAACTTACTACCAGGGACTTGTTCGGATCTCACATACTCTTGCTCTTGAAATAAATCCTCGTGTGTGTCAAACAAATTCGAGCGCGAGCCTATGCTCATTCGTGTCCTCTATCTAGCCCAGCTTAACCCGTTTCGGGTTTATTCACTTTGCGAGTAATGATCGCCTCCACGCAGAAAACCGTAGGGCAATGACAGAGTGTACGAGAGGATACGAAGATATGTTTAATTTCTGAGAAGGAGTAAAGGTTTCTAACTGATAATAATTAGAAGCTGTGAACATTTGTAGTTTCTGATCAAGTCTGAAAGTAGCTGTAAGGCATTGAAACGGGGCGGAGAATAAAAATTAAGGATTTAAATCGTGATTTAAATCGGACCAGTTTTACTGTGATCATTCAAATCGTCCTGAAAATGCCTTGCCGAGTTGCATTTATTGGTGCTGCTCAACAGAAATCTTTCCCACAAAAATAATACCGAAACTAGTTTTATATGCGGTTTGTTTATCGTTTGATCAGGGTGGAGAATAAAAATCAACCTGACTTAGATCGTGTCACACCAGTTTTACAGTGATGATTTAAATCGAACCTTTGCCTCAGAAATAATAGCAACAATTTTTTTTACACTTTGTCTCTCGTTTGATGCTTTCCGTGGTCATTTGTTTGGTGCCCAAATCAAATAATAATAAAGCAAGAAAGATTGCAGCAGGCTGAACATGAGAAAAAACCAGTGCTTTTCTGAGCAAATTGAGACGTTGGGCTTTCTGTATACCTTCCACTTTTTTCGTCAGTTACGTGATGTAAGAAACAAACACGGTAGAAGTAATGTCATATTGCAAGCAAATTAAAACGCATATATATATATATATATATATATATATATTAAAACCTTTCTACTTCCACAAAAAATAAAGCTGTTTTTGTTTTGTTGTGATAGGATTTACATCAGTACAATGTTGGTAATTAAAGTGTACTTTAAATTTACGGTAATTGTTTCTTCCGCATTTTTTTCTATAATCTGATCTACGGCTGAGATCTAGGTTGAGACAACTAGAGACACCGGGCCCGTTAGGGCTGACTAACTTCCCCTTGTCTAAACATACACAGAACGCTTTTTTTTGTGTGTGTGTGTGTGCATCAAGCTTCCTGATAAACAAATATAAAAGCACGGTCTTGCACGACAGTTGTCTGGTGCATAATAGCTGAACGCGAAAATGGCTGACTAAGCGTGGACAAGAGCACTATTGTGCTCCGCTGTGTGCTTACTTCTGCCATATCGCCTCGCAGATATTTGTCGCAGGCAGATCCACGAGGGTTTGTCACCGTTTTGGATGCGTTCACGCCAAGCGCGTCGGAGAACTGGCGGTGTTTTGAACCGAATGTGCTTTCCGTGAAACCGTCCAATCTACAGCTTGCACTGACATCAACCTGGGCGGTGACATGGCATCAAAGCACGGGGAGCTAAGCAAGCTACGTCGTGGCCTGTCACTTAACGAAACACACTCGTGTGTTTGCTTTTCTTTAAATAATAAAAAAAATGGATTGGGAGGTAAAACGGCCTATGAATGTCATCCTACTTCGAAAAACACTTTCACTGCATATCAAAGAGTTGGTAAAGAGCAGCGTATTTAGCAAAAACAAGCGATTTTCAGCTTGTTTTTTTTTTTTTTTTTTTTGCTTAAAAATAAATCGCTTTCGACTAAATTACTAGTGTGGTTGAAATTGCTTTTTTGAGTCACTAACATAAACGGTAAAATTGCTGCTCATTTACAAAACCAGAAAAAAGCGCGGATGTCGATCGTGTTCTCCTGTGTCATGCAATGCAAGTACAGTCGTCTTCAAAATCTGCGTGAACACGCGAACACCGGCGGATCGCTGCTGCAAGCACCTTCATCACGAATCACAAGGAGATTAAGCACTCGCTCAAAAAGAACGAAAGCACTGCTGCGAGTGTGTATACACTGCCCCCTTTGCATGTCAGTCTGCATACCATCTGGCGAGATGATTCACGCATTTAACAAATAGGATCAGTCAAACTCTGAGGCTTTAGGTGCTAAGCCGACGAAGGGTATCTCACACACCCCAGCGAAGTTTGGACCACCTGGGAACTTTCTGACATGCAACCGAAATCCGGTCACACGACTTCTCCGCGTAGTAAGCTTCTGTCGTATTACGGACATACCATCCGGGATTCGAACCCGCCAACTCGAGAATCGTAGGCCAGCGCTTTGCGTCGGAGCCCCCCAAGGGGTCTAAACATCTATCGAGCTTTCGCGATCAGCTAGGTGGCGACTTTCCGTTCTCTTAATTGGAAGGATGGGTGGATGGATGCTAACGGCTGTACCCTTCATAACGGGGGGTGGCCTGCGCCACCTAGCCCATCAATCTTGCACCATGCATTACACTTTCTTAAACGAGACACTGATTCCGAATTCCTGCTTCTAAAATCCTTACGGATTAAAAAAAAAAAGTGAACAGCTTAACCGGCACAGCGGAAAAGCGACATCTGCGCAGATGGCCTATCGCAGCCAGCATTTCTAACTATTAACAACACGGAACAAAATCACCGCCGGTGCAGTGGGGCAAATCCAAGAACGGAGGTGATACACATTATCGCAACAGCGCGTCCGTTCACTTTGCACGGGCGCTTCCTTTCCTGGGCGTCTGTTTCGGACGACCGGCGTCCAGGACGAACGCGTTGCCTTCCGACGTGCCTTGGCTGCGCGTCGATTCTCGAAGCTCACGAGACTTCGTTATCGAAGGCAGGAAGCTCGCGCATGGAGACTTTGAATGGACAGTACGCTATAACTTTGTATTGCTAGCAAGCAGTGACGCGTATTCGGCGTCTATACGCAAGAACACGCGTGGGTTCTAAAGAGTCCACGAAGGTATATTGCCTCTCGAGCCCAGAGACCGTCGCTGTTCCATCAGAAACTTACTTGGGGGCAGCTGCGGGCCTTCCACGGTTAGCTGAGGAGTCCATCTGCTGGAACTTGGCAAACGCATTCTTCGGCGGCTCTGCACGTGGAAACACGCGAAGACCGGAGGTGACGTCGGAAACGATGAAATGGCGCGGCAACATCGCCAACGGAACGAAACAGAACGCCCTAAAGCCTCGCGATAAGCAAAACATGTGTTTATTTTTTAACGCTTGCGCAATAGCTCTTCCCGTTTTCGATTTCACACTCCTCTCGAGCGGGCAGTCTATTCAAGCCACAGTCCAAACTGAAGGCTGTGCGCCGACAAGTTTTTCTATCGTTCGCGTTGAAAGAGGGAATACAAAACGCATTTGTCATTTCGGGTATCTTTTCTTATCTGTTTCTAAACAAGATTAGAATTATTTATGGGCTGGAGTCGAGTGGTTTTTCTGACGCGCGTTTTGATAAGGAGAATGTTTTGGTAAAGACAATTGCCTGCAATGTCACGTGAGTTCCTTTCTTTTTGAAAACGTTACACAGGATTAGATCTTTTTTTTCAGAAGTTCGCAGTTTTCTAGAGTGTGCGAATTGTTCCCCACCCCAGGTACTAGTCAATTCATTTTCGTGGTACGTAATAAAAAGCTGTGGCGCGGGAATATTCGCTGGCGTCAAACTTTAAGCGGGACCTTTTTTGCTAATAAAATTCGTCTCTGACGCAACGATAAAAACGAGAACAGAAACATCTTTCAAAATTGCCCCTTTTTTACAACTTAAACAAACAGGGTTATTTCGGAAGCGATCACATCTGATTTGCTTCCCACATTGTGAGAACTTACTGGAGTTCCCTGAGTAAAAGGCATCAATTTGTCAAGATTATGAATTGATACTGACTAAACACACATTGTCGGCGATTCCGTCTCCATAAACACACCTTATTTTTAGTGAAAAAGTTGCAATTAAATACTATACTGCAAGTCAGAGATAGACTTTCCAACAATTGACGTTCAGTCCCCAAAATGGTGCCATTAGGCAAAGAAAGACTCCTCCGATGAGAATAAATTAATTTAAATGCAAAAAGCATCGAGGGCCTTTTTTCAACGCGTTTTTAAGGAGGTTCGTTTAATTTGCAGACAAAAGACTGAACAAATAGGACGGAGCACAGAACGCGACATATTTCAGAAAAATGTCGCGTTCTGTGAGGGACGATTGGAGTGTCATTTGACTCCAATGCCGACCTTGCAGCGAACGAAGCTTCGTGGCCATGCGTCGTGTCAAATGCAAAATCATGGGAGTGACAGCCGAGACGTCGCCTCTGACACGGCGTTGTCGAGCGCTTCCGGTGGCCGGATGACTGCCGCGTGCCTGCCACGTGGAAGGAGTATGCACGTCGATACACGTAATGCTGGTGCCGGTAATTTTTTTCTATTTTGTTTTGTTTCGAGTTTTACAAATGTTTATGATCTTTGTCGGATTAACTGCTTTCGTCTATGGGTGCGAATTTTATTCCCATCGCGTGCAGCCAAATCGCAAAAATTTAGTTTCCTGGCACACGTCACTTTTCAATATTACGACAAAATCAATATTTCAAGTTGCGACAAAATCATTGGCAAATGGTTTGTCGCCATTTTTTTTACGCTGAAGCACTTTTCAAAAAATATTAGTTAGGAACGGATTTCCATAGCTTTTTTTCTTGTGAATTTAGTTATCGCACTTAACTTGAACAAAAGTAAACGTAAACCACGTTTTTCCTTTAAATACGTGCAGCGATTGTTGCAGGGCATGCAGGGAGCCTCTCTACCGCCTGTTATCTGTCCAAAGCGTCGCTACGTCATCGTCGGCATCCCCAAGGGTCATCTGACCTCGGCCAAAGACGTCACTTTTGCTAGTTGTTTCTCTCCGCTCTCCCGTGTTTGGCGTGCCGCCACGGGTGGGGCTACGTCGAAATATTAATCGGCGATTTCGACGCTCCTATACTTCGTTCTCTTTTAACCTGAGACTCGAGAAGCTCCGCCTTCAGCGCGAGCTTTCCGCACTTGCTAAGACAAGTGTGAACGCGCAGGCACGCGCAACCCAAGTGCTGCGGAAGCCAGCGAGCTCGCACTGAAGGTGGAGCTTTTGGTCTCAACTCAAGGGTAAACGGACTATGCTAATAAGGTCGAAAGAAAACTTAAGACATACTTTTTTTAAGTGCCGTCATTAAAACATTTGCAGTTTTTTTTTCCTAGCCGTATTTTAATACCCATCATTTTATTTAAATAAGCCAGGAAGCAAGCTTAACGGCGAAACGCGAAGTTTTCACAACGGCTGGTAATCCTGAAATTGAACCGACGACGACAATCGCTGCCGGCTTTGAAACGTGAAGCGAAGGGCGCTCAATGAGCGTCACCTTCCTGTTCCATTGTCGTCCTCTACGTCAGGCTCGCGTGAACACGATACGTGACAGCGTACTCTCGGAGCGAGCTTCTCCCGAGTAAAAATTGTCACGCGCTTCGCTGTGTCACATTATTTGGCTCGTGGGTGCCTTAGCTTTTGCACTTCGTAGAGTACCGCTGAAACAGGGTAAACATCGCTTCGGAAGCACTGGAAGAGGCGAAGGATGCTTATACTTTGTTTGGCCTTAAGTCCGGGCGCAGCCGACGCTACGAGCTAATGCACCAATCAAATAGCGCCAAAAGTGCACGCACATGGTGTTAGTCGTGTTTCTGTACGTATTCTATTATCGCTGAAGCAATCATGTACAAAGAGGGCCCAGTGACTTGCTGTTTTCATGCTGTTTGATTGATTCCATCAGCTCGAAGCTTCTGCTACGTCCGTACTTAAAACAAAGTATAGTAACGCAATGAAATAAATTTGGATTGGAATGATAACTGTCCCCGGGAATATCATGACAGGGGATTGTCCCCCACTCGGGTCAAGCAAATGAATGTACCAAAAACAGAAACACTGGAATGAAACATCCAAATAATGGTGCGTCAGCAGCAGCCTGTCAGTTTACTGAACGTGTAATAATCCTACTTAGGACTCGTATCCTGTCGATGCCAGCGTCTGTAGTGCTAGGCTAACCAAGGGGAGAAGATGCTACTATAACCTCTAGATCTGACTATCCCGTGGATTAGTGCTTGCGGAATCATAATGACTGCATCTAATTTTGTTTTATATGACGAAATTTGTTTTCGAGTACCAGATTGAGGCTACAACCAGACTTTAAAACTATAAGCCGAATCGAATGTAATAACTCCGATGTTTCGGAGTTATTACATGAAGTTAGTATGATCTACCACATTAAATAGCTACATTAAAAGGTTCAATTCAAAATGGAGGGGAGAAAGTAATTCAGTTGAGCCTTAACTGTCCTCCTTCTACCCTTCCAGTTGTTTCACTCGTACCTTGAAGAAATTTAGTAACGAAGTGTATTCACTTGTAGCGATCGTGTTATTCCGTAACCTCCTGTCATCTCCCTCCATTTGCCTTTATTCTATTCTTCAATTTTTGTCTTCACAATCTATCTAAATAGAAGGAGATGTTGCAAATTAAAATAAATACAATAAAAAAGGGGATACATCGGAACAAATTCAATGACCGAACGCAATCTGGGTCATTCACGACCGGCACATTTTGCAAAGGAACGATTTGCCGACAGACGCGAGTCCAGGCTGCAGGGACGCCCTCCTGTCCTTGCAGCGCGAGCCCCTTTCTTCCTTGGCATGCACACAAGACACTCACGCCGCCGTTCTTGCGCCGCGTGCGCTTTGTTTGCGAAGAGCACACAGAGGGTGAGAGAGAAGACGGAAGCGTTAATTGTCCGCGAGGGGGAGCGCGGCGCATTGCAATCGCCAGCCGTCGGGCACCCGTCCAGGGTTTCGGCGGCCCGGTTAGTCACGTCAACCAAACAGACGAAAACGTCCAACGAAAGCACGGGAAGAAGAAGAAGCGGTAGAAGTATGAATTCGCCGTTAATTTGAGTAGGTAAAGGCGGGTCCCTACCTTAAGGCTGGTTGACGTCAAAGTTGCGGAGTCGATGCCATGGGGATGGGTAGCACTCGTCGTCTTGAAGATTACGAGCCTGCGCGAGACATTTCTGACACGCAGACATGAATTTGTTTCTCGAATGACGTCATTTTTTATTGTCATTTGAGAAACAGATGACGTGAAAACTTTATAGCGTTACTATCACCGGCTAAACCAATTACGCATGCAGAAAAAAAAAAAAGAGGACGACCGCGACGCATTCACCGTGCGTCATTGGTTTAGTCTTTGATAGCAAACGCACAAAGGCGACGAGCGTCGTGACGACGCACTTTTTTGGCTGCTTCAATGGCTCCATAAGATTGTAGCGTCGACTGCGTTCGGACTTATTATGAAACGGAATGTGTATATATATATATATATATATATATATATATATATATATATGTGTGTGTAGATGTCAATGGCTATACCCTTTGTAACGGGCGGTAGCTTGCGCCACCTAGCCTAAGTCTAAACACCGTTAGTCTGAAGGCAGTTGATGCTACGAGTCCATGGGGGCCAATCGAACAGTGCCAAGAGCGCGACGTCGCGCCGCTCGTCGTCTTTCTGTGCGTGTGCAACGATGGGCTAAGCCAATCGAGGTCAATGCACGCGCCTTGACCTTGCGCTTTATTTACTCCGTGCGTCTGCGTTTGATGCGTCTTCTAGACGTTTACTTGTGTTTTGACTTTAAGCGAAAGGAAGTATAACACCCAAAATCCGATTAGATATTAAAAAACTCTGCTTTAAACCTAGGAACACCGAGAAAAACCCTAAACGTGTTTTTATTTTAGACGCGTTTTCGTGTTTTTGAATTATGCTTTGATGTTCATAATGAGTGACGCGTATTTGTTTGGCTCTTGCGCGCAAAATGTTCCAGAAACTTCGAAAAAAAAAAAAATAAACAGGCGTACGCGTGCCCAACCAACGCCACTTAGAATAATGAAAACCTGTGAATGCTACCTCTACCTCAACCTAACGTTATTGCGTTTGGATCGCGCCAACTCATCAATGGACCTTTTCCAGATACCGACGGCACCAGGCGGTGGCTGCACGAACTAAAAATCAAGGAAGTGACCTACCTGCGCTACC